AAGAGTTTGTTGCGCGCTCGTACTTTTTTAGCGATTTGTGGAGATAGGAGCTGCAGATGAACTTCATCTAGTTGCAGCAAGGTGAATCAGTTGCAAGAGAAGATACTGATACTACTCTCAGGAAACAATGGGAGTTTCTCTTTTTTTGTGGTGTTCGGCGGAAAATGATTACTTAAGTGCCACGTCTTGTTTGCTAGGGAGAAATAACGCAGAGAGAGAACAAGTTCACGCACAATGAAATGGTGATTTAGAGCTCGATGGCATCTGTGATTCTCGATGCTCTAGTAAGTTCAACGCACATTAATAAGAACAACGATTTTTTTTGACTTTCTCGTGGGTAATCCAGTGACAACCGATGGATGGTGCCTCCGTGCACCATTTCGTGGACGAGGACGATGATACTCGTCAATAAATGCGCAATGCTGTTGTTCCTCGTGGCGACCGTTACCGACGTTCTCGTTGGGATACAATTACTCGTCGTGGCGGCCGCGTCCCACAGCACTTCGCGACAAAGAAATGGTCTCCAACGGATGCGAGAAGAAGTGCGTGAATGTCGACGGATGCTTGGACTGGTGCGACAAACTACACAGTCAGATTATTCCAGAAGTACAGAATCTAAAAAATATTCAAGTAGTAGATTGAGCCCCTCTACTAGTACTTCGTTGATTTCATCCGAAGATCTTGCACTCGATTTCTATGGTGGGCGTGGGATGGTAGAAGACGATGTGGGTGGGCCTGGGATAGATGGGGTAGAAGACTCAGATGATAGTCAGAAGGAGTACAATTACGTCAATCTAGCTGGTAAGGCTTCCCCTAAGTAATGTCCATCTTCAGATAGTGCATCTTGGAACATTAGGATGGGAGAGAAGCATCAGGATGCACCATCTTAAAATGGAGATTTGGGTGAGCGCTAAAGGTGGCGTTTTCTGCACAGCATGGTTGTCATTGCAAGTGGCGTGGAGCGTCACTGCAGACGCGAAGCCAGTTTTTCTAGATTTCTTTCTTGGGCATGGAGGTTATCAATATTTCATCGAAAGAGCAACGCACGCCTTTCATGCAGAAAAAAACAGAAACTTCTTTCTGAATTCTGGCCGGGATAGAGTAAGTGATGTACCGGTAGTACCAGGAAAGCAGCTCAAGGAAGACGCAGACTCTGTGTCCACGACGCACAAAACAAGTCAAGCTACAGGACCGGCATGGTCTCCGCTCTATGTGACTTTTGAACGTGATGACGAAACGATACGGTCTGCACAGCGTGATGACGGGATACTGGCGAGTCTCTGGCAACGAGAAGCTGCAGGAACTTCACTGCCTCGTGTCGTCAAGAAAAAATTGGTGCTGGCAGGCACAAATAAGAACGGAAGGAAGCGTCGTGGAGGTGAAAGTTACTACCCGACGACTTTGACGAGGTCTATAGCGAGGAATATAACCAACTGGCTAGAGAGCAGTCGAAATGTAGGCGAGAAAGTATTGGGCCGGCCAACAACGGACTCACTCGTGGTTGTTGTGCATGGGGAACCCCTGTTGAGAGATGTTGACGTTCCAGCTCATCTAGGAGGTGAGACCACTAGTACATCGGAAAAAGCAGCACCAAAAGTTCATCCACTTGCGACTATGTGTAGGACGATCTACGTTAAGGGTTCCCCTATTGCATCCTTCACGTGTCCCATCCTCGGCAGTTTTTCAAGTGGAAAACAAGGCAAGGATGTTCTGAAGAATGCAATAGCGCAGCCTCTACCTACGCTGGTGGCGGGCACAAAAAAGTAGACCAGGACCGGGAGAAAGGAATAAAAGGAGAAAGGACACCAGGCAAAGGTGGAGGAGGCACCACAACAGGTTTCAAGCTAGAGGATCACAACTTCCGTATGTCTTCGGTTTTTCTTGATGCGAATGTTCCGTGTGAGCCTGATGAGTCCGAGTCTCGCGGAAGTGTAAGAGATGCAAAGAAGGAGTCCTACTGTTTCGAACGTGAATGGCTTGTCATCCAAAGGGAGTGCCAACCTGGCTTGGTCTTTGTCAACAACGTTAACTTGCCTCAATCCCCTAGTGGCTGGCTCCGGGAACATTTGCTAGTGCGGGAAAAATGGATCGAGATTTTCTCAGATGTGATGGTAGACCCCGATGGCGGTGGAGCACCGAGTGAAGAGCTACGGCCGCTTTATACACACCGAAAATTCGCATTATTGGCACATCCGAAGCTGGTAGAAAAGGCAGGTGTGCAAGATCATGGGAGCACCAGTCTTGAGTTGGAAGCTTTAGAGGACTATTCATTGTGGTCAACGAATATTAATAAAAAAGTGGCTGAAGGCGATCATTCTAGTCCTGCAGGCGAGCAAGATGACAAGAATGTGAATGACGAAATGAAACAGCAGCTACAGCCTAGTATAGCCCGCAAAGCAATGTCAAAGCCTGAGCTAATCACTCCCGGCAACCTTGCGTTACTCGACACAGCAAGATCATTGACGGAAACTGCGCGTTCGCAGCTCCATGCGCTTTTAGGGTGGATGGTGATAAATACAACAGGTGACGAAAATCATAAAAACGAGGAAGCTGCTGGAACAGCAACAAAAATTACCAACGCCATTTTTGGCGTCGATGGCTTACATGAAGGCACAACATTAAATGCGGGCTCGATGGAGAATTTCTATACAAAATTTCTCGGCAACTGCAATGCTCTCTTCCTTGAGGATGAAGGACGACGTAAAAAGAAGGCTAATAGCCTAACGGAAGTTCTGTGGAGAAATCGGTACGCTCCAACCGATGTTGACACGGAAGTTGCCGTTTTCCAACGAGAAGTTCGAGGATTCGCAGAACTCGTAGTGCCCTCGTCTAGTACTACCGGCTCCTCTGTTCCTCCTGCTGATGCTACTCACGAAACGGAGCTTTCGCCCCATAGCCTGTGGGAGTGCGCGGCGTATATGGAGGTACTGACGGGACTACGTAAATGACTACAGTTGTTCGTCTCGACGTCTTGTTGGACAGGACTTGTACTTGTTTTGAGAGGTTGCGCTTGCAATTTCGTAGTGACTACGAAGTGCTAGAACTAGTCATGGACTCATTTGTTGGTCCATCGATCTGTAAAATTTAATTATCTCGTTCTGCTGTCAACATTATTTTTCATAGCCAGGAGAAAACCATTCCACTGGAACCAAGACCAACTAGGCATGGGCTTTCTAATCCTCCTTCTCGACGTGGCCATCTTACGTGCTGCGAGCGTGGCTTCGATCAATTTTCATGATGGGTTTTCGATTTCCCCAGAGAGTGATCTTCTGCGGAGGCACTGGGACCGGCTACGTGGTGACTTTCTGGCAGCAGCAGATGATAAGGTTAAGGCTTAGAGTAATTCATCGTAAGTGGCATCTTTTGGCCCGCTCTGAGCTCTGAGTTCTCTCAGGTATGCCTTTCTTTAGAGTCTAAAAGCTCTTGAGCAGAACACGAACGAACCCCATTAAGTTTTCTCTTTTGATTTTGATTACAGTCACTATCACAGCCCTCTGATCTTCAATCATCAAAATGCAATCTGGAGGCCGCGTCGAGATCGCTTCTTGTCGCGTTTGCGACCGCCTCTTTCGGCCTCGTACTGGCGATGCTAGAGAATCGCGTAAATTAAGGTTAGTCTGTGTAGTGGATGTAAAATCTCTTCAAGTAGATTGTCAGCTTATCTGGGCTGGTGGACTATCCTGAGCGGGCTTTTCCTCGTGGAGGTCAGTCAATGGGAATAAACTAAGGGGAATAAACTAAGAGGAAAAACAAGACAAGTCACTCAACCTGGGATCGTGATCACCGACTACTATCTTTAAGTAGGCTGCACATCTTGCAGATGGTGAGAAATTCTGGATGCCATGCGCATTTCTGCTACGGTGTCAATGACCTGGGTATGGATCGCAACGGCCTCCAGGCCGCGAAAGATAGGGCGATTGCGTCGGGACGAGGACGAGGGGGCGCTTCATCTAATGCTGGTAATTCCTCCTCTACTGCTCAACAACGTTATTCTGGATCGGGAGCTCCTGGAGGAAGGAACAATAATCATCCGAATCTTCGCGCTGGTACTGGTACAACCAGTACTGGGACTACGGCTTCACCTGCAACTACGGCGAATCACAATCATGGCACCAATGCAACTACTTCTACCACAACTACTAGTGTTCATGGTGGAGGTGGTACGAACAACAACAACACCAATGGTAGTACAAGTGACGACCCTGCTGCTGGTCTCGTTCGTGGGAATCCATCGGACTTAGGCAGCCTCGATGGTCGATCTTGGAAGACCTGTGTTCTCAATATTAAGGCCATACTAAGACGAACCCTAAAAGCTCGGCCCTAACTAGAGTGTTCACGGCAGGCGAGCGCCATGAATATTGCTCACCTCCATCTACGTGGTCTACACTGACAATACAGAGGGACGTCTTCTACTTGTGATCTATTAGGTTTAGCCGTTTATCATTTGGAAATCGTGACTCAGTAAATTGCTGGGTTGCTAACGTCATTTCTAACAATAGCGACTCTCGCAGTACCTTGGAGAAGGAGCTGTATTCTCTCGCCAAGGGAGGCCGTTATCTGGACAAGCTGAAATTCTTGATCGACGACGACGAGTTAAAGAGGAAGATGAGTATGGCTCTTTCAACAAGGATAGAAGCGCTCAAAGCACTAATTATAACAACCGGTTAGAGTTTGTACCTCTGTAGAGATCTAGCTCCTCTTCTTCTAACCTAGGTTTATGCCTTCATGCAAAATAATACTTATTGGGACTACTTTCATCATTGATTGTGGTATCTTATTGAAACTCTAAGGCCAACAACAACAACAAGATTGCTGGACTACTCACTTCTTTTCCACTACTCTTATATACAGATGCATAAGTTGTAGCATAAAAAGAAATGCACGAAACGTGGAATAATTACAACTGGTTCTACAATGTGGCTTGCCCTCTATCCTCTAAAATATGCATCGACCTAAACGGTGGAGGCGAAGATGGCTATACCCCGTTGATGACCGCATGCGAAGCCGGTCATTTACAAGTTGTGCGTCTGTTTGTGGCAACCTTGCTCCGGGAAAATAGTGAAGGATCAGCACAGATCTTCGGAAGTATATTTGCGGTAAAGAATGGAGAACATGGAGCACATCAAGATAAGATTAAGGCTTCAGTAGTATAACAAGACTACATCCTTAGCGTCATCGTCCTTACCTCTTACAATTTTTCTGAGTTCTATTTTCATAAAAAGGTAGAAGGGAATTGTCTAGGTTGTACTTTATAGAAGAAAGACAAGGATGCTCCTATCTTCATTCAAGGATGCCAATCGTCCGGTAGCCTCTCTAAAAGTGAAAGCTTATTTCATCACTCAGGGATGCCAATCGTCCGGTAGCCTCTCTAAAAGTGAAAGCTTGTTTCGTGTCAATTCCGTACTAGCTTCTCTAATAGCAAGGCCTTCCGCAAAAGCGATTATCGAATGGATCTTTCTCGAAAGAATTCATATGGCCAAACAGCTTTGTCTCTGGCCGCGACACGCGGACATGCTGACATTGTCGAAGCTTTATTGGATGCTTTCAAATCGTTGAACATGCAGCTTCCCTTTGGTTGCGCTCTAACGAATCAGTACATTGTTAAGGGTTACCAAATTGCATCCTTCCTACCATTCTTGACTTGCTTGCTAATAGGAATGATGTTGCTAATAGGAATGATGTCTGAAGAATGTAATTGCGCAACCTCCAACATTGACAATTGTCGCCGTTTTCTCGAGACGGATCGACCTGCGGAGAAGGCTCGAAAGTTGGGGCATCTAGCGATAGCGAATAAGATCTCGGGTTTTGCAGCTAAATGGCAGAGGATGGCCTTAGAACAAGCTTTAGACACCGTTAGTAAGAACTTGAGCTGCAGTGTAGAAGTAGAAACCGTTTTTAGTAATAAAAACGCCTCTCCTGGTCCTGGTGGGCCTCCTGGAGGAATTTTTTCCGGACCAGTAGGCGGGACTAGCACTAGTATCTTCGGACGATTCGCGGGTAGCGGAGGAAGTACAACTTGTGGCCTTTTTGGTGCTGCACCTCAACAACCACGAGATACAATCTTCAACTTCTCCGCTACCTCCAGAGTTTCTACGGTTTCCACCTCCACGGCATCTGAGACTTTTAGTGCAACTACACCGGGAGGATCTTCTACTAGCACATCGGGAACCAGTACACCTGAAGATGGTGCTGGAAATGCTGCCACTTGCGACTCCCTCGCGCAACGTTGCGTTGCAGTATGCAAGGCAGCAGGTGTGAGTGTTGTTGTCCAGAACGACGATGGGGATGCCGAGACGGACTACGGAGAGACGGCTCAAGATCATTAAGGCTTCACCTAAAGATAAGTAATCTCTCTCTTCTATGTATCTATAGGGTGGAGGATCTGTCTCTCAAGTCACTAGTAGTCTCAACTAGTGGTCTCAAATAGTACACAGTACATATTTATAAGGTTATTATTTTATATTATATGCTTGATGGATCAGAATGCACCACATCAAGGGATGCGCATGGGTGCAAAAAAGAGGGAAGCTGTCGCTCTAGATTTCTATTAAGAATGATTTTGCAAAGTAGAGACCAGCTCCATCTGTGCCTTGATTTCTAAGAAAGTCAAAGTACTTTGTGCGAAATCTGTTATGTTGGAGAGCGGCAGTATGCCTTCGTGCCCTGCTTCCATGCGAAGTTTTGCAAAGACTGCGCAAACGAGTGCTTCGAAAGTGCAGGCACGTGTCCGATATGCAGAACAAAATGCACTGACATTCAACGCATTTATTTATGAACGACCTGAAGGCATTTTGAAAAGTTCGAGGTCGTTTTGAACGACCTGAAGGCAATTTCAGCCAATACTTTGAAACGTCCTAGGTATACTTTATTATTATGACTTTACATCAAGACAGAAGCGGATGCAATGGCTTTTCGTCATTAGTAGTCAATACTCATACATCAAGGGGAACAACTGTTAAATACTATGAATCCGTTGAAGGCATTATTACTCTTTTTACCTATGAACCTGAAGGCCGTTATCTACCTCCGTGTGAACCTGGGCGCATTGATTTGTGAACATGAGCATTGTCTAGGTTGAGCATCAGTTTTGTTGTTTTGATATAGTCACTACGCAATGATCCGTCCAATGTGTATTTGATGTTTCAAAATCATTGTTGTTTCGAACTTCTAGACAAAAATCATATTATACTTATAGTTAGCAAATAAATTTGAGAATAAGCAGTACATACATTCAGAAACTTTTTGTGCATGGCCGAGTTGAAGGTTTTTTTCTCATCTATTTGAATGAATTCCATAACAGTATCGTTATTAACATATTAAGGGACTGTCTCAATCATGACTCCTAGTTGTTTTCTTCAACGGATGTTGGGCGCTCGAGGAAGTGTATACTGCCGATGCTTGCCCCTGCGATGGCTCAAGGGTGAGTACTTCTAGGAGCGCGACATCATTCATATTTATTAAGGATCGTCGTACTGATTGGACTGTCGTACTCGTATACTGACTAGTATAGAATTTTCACTTTGTGTGGCGTACGTATATCATTTGCCGCAGAACAAGAATTACCTAATTCCTAACAGAGGTGGTCGCCAACTCAAGACTACCATGCTGCGCCTTTCTATTCGCAATTGTATCTTTGTAAGACGAGCACAATTGAATCCATTCCCATGACTGTCACGAGCGCTTGAATTTTATTTGGACACGACTCAAGGTTGTTCTTGTTGATACGGACCAGAAGAAAATCGGACCTGGTCTTGGCGTTTGTTTCTTTGTGCTATGATGTTGAAGACTTTTACAGCAGGCACACTTTTCACCCTCAAGAATGCTACGGCGCTCTGTAACTACCAATGCTAAGCGGTGTATTTTTATGAGTTCGTTGTTTATCCCCGATTCATTTTCATCTTCAATTTTTCC